TCTCGAACAACATTGCCGAACAGAGTTAACCCGAACGGAATAATTTCTGAGTCGTCCGCCGTGTTGTATACATTCGTGTGTTACAATGTGCTTTTTTTTCCCAATTTTATTGTACTGTGACTTTTTTCTCTACATCGATTCTTATTGTAAAAATAGTTTCGGTTTACGACCATTTTTGGTTACGAATGGCCTTCAGGAATGAATTAAATTCGCGAACCGAGGTTCCACTGCATAATAGTTTTGCAATGTAACATATTTTCAAAGACCAATATCCTGTAAAGATTAAAGAAATACACTCTTTATAGCTTCAACGTATTTCTCTTCAAATACATTCGCTGTAGGATCGACAGAAAAGAAAATTTAGCATCTAGTGAGCGCTATTTTCATGTAGAGTCATGTTTTAATTAGAAGTATAGGCTAAATAAAGAACCGGCCATTAAACAAAGCATTCAGTTTTCTAACATTTGACTCTTGTTTCTCTTTCTGTCATAATCTATAGGATGAGGAATTATCATTATTCACACTCGAACTAATGTCTTCATCATTTATTATTATCACCATAACGTTTCGATTATTGTGTCATCCGGCCTTCTTCAAGCATCTGTTGATCAGGGTAATCTTTATAGAATTTTGAACTGTTTTTTCAATCGTTTCAACACGAGCAAGGCAGTAATGCCACTAGAACACAAGGGTTTACAGGGAGTGAAAGTGAAAGTGAAAGAGAATGAGAAATTTGAACATGAGGAGGATTGAGGAACGGACAAAAAAGCAACAGGGTTCAAGAAGACAATATGGCGGTTGACGTTGCAGTTAACTTTCCGAAGATTGTAATTATCAGGGAAGCATGAAATGGGAAAAGAGTTTCACAGGCGGGAAGTGCGAGAGAAAAAAAAACTGTTTAAGTAAAAGTGGCGGTTGCATCTATCTAGTTTAACAGAACACTTTGTTCAATCTACAGCAGTAGATTGTTTTTATTCTACTCTACATTTTTAGCCATATCTCGTCTTTGGCAAATTTTTTATTTTTAATTTTGCTCACTTATTGCTTGTCTTGTTTCCACTGGGTATATCTGTACTATTTGGCTTAGGGATTAAAGTCAAAATTACTAGTATTTTCTCATCCCACCCCTATCCCCCGTTGTGATCGGATTTGACACAATGTCGGTTTAAAGTGGGGAACACTAGCGCGGCTTAAGATTAAAAAATTGCAACGTTGCGCTGGTGTCGATATTCCAACAAAGCTCCCTCTTCAGGACAATGAGGGAGGTGCTGCCGCTGGAATGGAATCCCCGGAACCAGGCATCCTTGATTTATTTCTTTATTTGCGCTATGTCCAACGACAAAGACACAATTTGGGAGATCTAAATGTAGTTACTAATCCAGAAGGGAGGTTGACTATTGAAGTCATATTTGCTATACCACCAAATTCACGAAAAAATGCACTAGGCTATTGTCTATCCCCTTAGATTAAATAAAACTTTCAGTTCGAAATTCTTTTCAGATCACCCTGATCGACAGACTCCTTTTGCTCATATTCAACATTTCATACTAACTTATTATTGTTCTCAAGAAAATGACACTTTACCGCTTTTCAATTTTTATTCCACATTCTTCTTGTCTTGCTACTGTTTAATAATATTAGTATAGTTTGGTATAAGTCCATGTCTAGTAACGATCAATTCATTATTCTACTATTAAGTAGAAAATTGTAAAATAAAACTAGCTCAGTATCTGAGATGAGGTATTATGTACATTATTTACATTATTCGGACTATTGTCCTCATCTTTGTCGCCATATTTATTACAACGTTTCGGCCGTTGTACGCTCCGGCCTTCTTCGGGTGGTTGGAATGTCGAACTGAACCCTTTATTTCATTCACTGGGGTAGACTGTTCTAGTTCCACGTGCCATGTTTATTGGATGTCACTTATCAGTTATCTCCTGTTAATTCCTCTCTGAAAGTTATGCACTGCATTAGTTAGATCCAGTGACTGGACCCAAAGAGTGTGAGTTCAATACCCGGTTAAGGCAGTGCAGAACTTTCAGAGGGGAATTAACAGGAGATAACTGATAACTGACATCCTTTAAACATGGCACGTAGAATTAGAACGGTCTACCCCAGTGAGTGAAATAAAGGGTTCAGGGTTAGGGTTCGACATTCCAACCACCTGAAGGCCGGAGCGTACAACGGCCGAAACGTTGTCATCAATATGGTGACAAAGATGAGGACAATAGTCCGAATAATGTAAATAATGTAAAACTAGCTCGCTGACCAAAACACCACACCGAGTTGCCCAAGTCTTTCTTCTATTACTGATTCACTTTGACACCGATAGTAAAAACAACAAAATTTTCTTTTTATCAATGTTACCGATTAAATAAACAGCAAATTCTCTTTTCTTGTTTTGTTATTTCTTCTTTGTTTCTTCCAGTTTTTAAAAATGATTTGTTACTTGAAACAAATCTTTGCACATTAACGTGCGAATTAAGTGTCTTAGGTTGAGCATTTTCATTTACAGTATAGATGGGAGAGACTTTCAGTCCTCTAAGAGTCAACTTCTTTATTTCCAAAATAAGTTCAGACAACTTAACAATTATTATTACTAGATAGTAAGCAAACACTACAGCACGAATACTCGAATGAAGAGCAGCTGTATGATGTCTCTGTAATCAAATTGATACAGGCGACGTCCATTTCAGATGAATTCCCAAGATGTGGGAAGTGAGTACATACCTTGATTCGGTCTGCTTTTTTATTTCCAATTTATGCTATGTTTGTGCGTATTCGTGTCTATTTTTTTAGATGGGAAAAAGAAATTCTGTCGGAAAAATATTCTACAATTAAAGATTACCTAAAGTTCTTTATTTCAAACTTCAGGTTTATATATAAGTTGTTAATATTTTAAATATAAGTCAATCACTTGAGACAAGGTCATAATTATTTTTCTATTTTCCCTAAAACTTTATTTATCTATGGTAGTGTTTACGGTAATTTTATTGTCAGCAATTTTATGACAGCCACTTTCCAATACATTGCATTGTCTATCAATAATGGTATGTGCGCGCGCGTGTGTATAACAGAGAAAAGGCAAATGGAATATGTCTAAAATAGCTGAATGCTTTGTGTTGGCTAATTTACAATAAAAATCAGAGTTCGTCGTATAAAAATGCGAGGCGTTTCTTGCTCTTGTAAAGCACGTCGTTGCTACAAAGTAGTTAGGCAACACGCCCAGTTTATGCCATATTGTCAATGTCAGTTAGTTGGCTGGTTAGGTTTTTCCCATATGAGTTTCTCTGGTACGATTTGATGAAATATGTAATGACATGTACAGGCACGCTTTTTAAGTGCCACCATTTTTACCGTTTCGTGACGTGGAGTCACACGCTTTCATTTAAAAAGCTTTCAATGTTATAATTCCTGAGTACGACGTGGGCACATGAAATAAAACATTATGTGGGTAACTTGCTGATAAATGTTTCTCCTTTTCTAAGCAGATTTTCAAGAAAAACAGTCCGATCATATGACTACAAAATAAATCTCTTGGTAAACGTCTTAACATTTTTTACGCAGGATTTGCTTTTAAAATCAATCACGTACAATCATAGATAGTTTCTGTTTGTAGTTTTAAAAGATTTTCTTAAATATTTTAGTGCTTTAAATATTTAAATATAAATACATCATTTATTTCTTTATTTCATACGAAATAACATACTTTAAAATAAGAGAAATTGTTTGATTTGTCTTATCTAACCTTTTGTTATTTTATGAGAATCTAACCGCAACAACACGTTGTTTGTTTAACAATAACAATAACGATGATAACGGTTGACATTACATATGTAATACGATGTGGACACCTCGACATGGTGTAATGGTTAGAAAGCTTGTACTTCTAGAACAAATTACGACTGAGTAGTGAGTTCGATCCTCCCTGAGTGTCCCATACGTTCGGCGTTGTGCCAGATATAAGCTACGCGTAGAAAATCATCATATATAATAAGATGGTAGAATGATGGCTCTGTGGATAGCTGTTTGATAGGAGGGGTAATCCGAAGGTAGACAATTTTTGTACAACTGGTACGGAGTTGTGAAGCCAATTACTTAGTGAAAATATAATGAAAATTGCAACAACATAAATTCTACACCACAGAAAAGAACCTTTTACAATTGTTAGTTGTAACAGGCGCCGTTATAAACGAATACAAACTCAACCTAAAAAGACTAAACAATTTTACATAGGCTTTTGGGTGCCAGATATGCCACGTCTGACATCTGACAAATGCTATAATGAGACCAGCTAAGTGGTAAGAATGATGATCAGTCATTTTATTTGTTTTTAGTAAGGACGTTAGTCTTCGTGTGGGGATTGAGGTTTCTAGAAGTTTAGAATTATGATGAAAGACACTTGCGCAGTAACACCAAAAAACTATCTTCTCTGTCTACGCTGTAAACAGTTACGTTTCTTAACATGGCCAATGGAACAGACTTTTAGAAAGGATTAACTTCATACCTAAAGTGAAGTACTGTGGAGTAGCGGTTCGAAGTGAGGAATCGGAGAACCGAGTTCTAATTCCAGCCGAGTTCATTTCATTCACTTACGTGCAAATAGCTTTGGAAAAGGTATCAATCCGTCTTTTCTCCCCAGCTATGGGTAAATAGCAGGACAGAATCGGGTACTATAGCACTAGCTGGCAAGCGTTCTTTTAATTTGAAAACCTCGACACATAGATTAATGGTTTATTGTTTTTGTATATCAACCTCTATATATTATTTAGTGTTGAAATATAAATATTTTGTACGCAATTTTTTATTTTTAGTGATAATTTTAGTGATATAAGTCTTACTAATTAACCCATAGATAGGGTATAGAAGAGGTGACTTCATACATTTTCCAATGATATTCGCGCGTAAGTGAATATAACGAACCCAACTGGAAATGGATCTCGGTTCTCTAATTAACAATTTCGAGCTATAATTCATTACACCACAGCACATCCAAGCTTACAACATCTGGTATTCCCAGGCGGTCACCTATCTAGGTACTAACCAGGCTCAACGTTGCTTAACTTTGGTAATCATACGGGAATCGGTGTTTCAACATGATGTTCGAGTAAGCCACCTATGGTGCTAAATAGATTAAGCAACCCGCAATTGACCAAGCGGGTTAGTATGCCTATAACTATTAATCAATCACAGAGTGTTGGGGGGGGGGGTCCTCCAAGGAGTGAATCGACTCTGGATCTGTTCGAGTAAGCTTTCACCCCTTTATCCTTTTTCTTTCTTCTAAAGTTAAATGCCATTAAAGCAAGAACTGAGGTTAGAATCAAATTCCATTATAAAGACATTTTCATTCCTTACCAAGATATAAATACTTGTAATTTTTGCTTTGATTGCTTGAATTCGATTTGATTTGATTGTTTAACGGCATATCAACTGCTTATGGGACATTTAATGCCGAAATTTAATTTTCTTGGGAGCTTTTAAATAAAAAAAATATGTTATTCTATTTACACAATTGAATACATGGTAGACATATGCATGTTTCTGTGGACATGCTTACTAGCGGTGATGATATGTGTGTTTTATGTTGTAGTTTTGTTATTCTACTTACACAATTGAATACATGGTAGATGATACTCAGCTTTTGTGCATATACATATTTCTGTGCACATAATTAATAGCGTTGGTGTATATGTATTTTATGCTGTAGTTTTGTTGAAGTTATATTTTGAAATTCAGTTTAACTAAAGAAATTGAAGGATAGTATATGGCTTAATGTCATAAAAGTTCTTTCATATTGGTTGTTTGATTTTGTTTAGCGGCATCTCAACACCTCTGTGGGTTATTTAATGCTGAAATCTAAATATTTTGAACGCAGTTGTATGCCTTCAACTACAGGTAAAATGTATTGCTAGTAATGTTTTTATATATGCTGGTATTTTTTATTATAAAACATACATTTTTATACTTTCATAGTGTTTTGTTTTTGTTTGGGGGTTCACTATCTACCCATGTTTGGGACCCTAACAAGTGCTACCACCTCGGGTCAGGGTTGACCTGGGAACAACAATTAAGAAGTGATTCTACGCTCCTCAAAACCTCCAATCCCTCGAACAGAGGCCTTGCTGCCGGATGTGATTTATCGTCATACCCAGGACTATGATTGCCTGAAAAATGATTAATTGGGCGATGTCCAAAATTAAGTTACAAACATTAATCGAACATGTTTATTACTATAAAAATAAAATAATTTACATGTGTCGCTATTACTGCTATGCTACCTTTCCACGAAATGACTATCGATACTGATGCGCATTGTCTTATCGATGCATGAGTGCATAGACAATCTCCTCCAAGAAGGCGGCGTCAACCGACCGGAAACACATTTTCAACACTGCAACAATAGCATCAATTATGCGGAACTGTTTCACGGATAAAAGGTCATTTGAAGGATCTAAATAGATGATAATTTGAAGAAGCCAAATCAGGAATATGCAGTAGATGCAATAAAAATTTCTGACAATATCACGTTTTTGTCAGGTTGGACGCGAATTGGGTGGTGTTGTTATGCAGCATGATGTCACCCTCACGCAAAAGTCCTGTTCTCACTCGACGAACAGCTGACTTTAATTTGTCCAGCGTTTCACACTATCTGATTGCGTTAACATGCATGAGATCCATTTGTGTCCTGGAACATCAATTTCTTCACTAACTGCTGAACTTTAATTTCTTCAGAGATTAACCCTTTGAACCCTGCGTTCCTGAACAATTTTAACCCTTCTGCCTGAGCTTCTGAGTTAAAATTCGCAAATAATTGGAATGTAATGTTTCACGGTAGATATAAAAGTAGTTACAAGTGTTTACTCACCATTCAACCGGCGGCTGGGCATTACATCATTTTTCTCTACCACCGGTAAAGCGGTGGTCAGGGCTCAAAGGGTTAACTCGTCGATGACGATTGATGCTTTTAGGGTTTTTCAGTGAATTTGGATGCTCTCAGGTTATGGAGGCTTACGGCCATATCATGTTGAAACACCGGTTCTCCTACGATCACCGAAGTTAAACAACGTTCAACCTGGTCAGTACTTACGCGGATAATCGCTTGGGAATATTAAGTTCTGGAAGCTTCGATGTGCGTTTGGTGTAATAGGTAACGGCTCGAAATTGGAAATTGGAGAGCTGAGTTCCAACTCCAGTCGGGTTCGTTATATTAACTTACGCGCAAATACTCTTGAAAAAGGTATGAATCCACCTCTTCTCCCCCAACTATGGATTAATTATTAAGACCTGTATCAGGAAATCATTATTATCTCCCCAAAATTTTTATAATCTAAAATTCGTTTCTGGTTTTAAATAACCCGCAAAAGGTTGATAAGCCATAAAAAACAAACCAACCAATTAATCAATGCAAGTCATGGAATCATCTTTAGCGTCTTCATTATCGTCTGTTTAGATTTCTGAAGTGATAGTCTCACACTGATGACAATGCTGTTGCAAAGGTACAAGGTTGGCCCCAGTTGCTTGATGCTGTGTTCTTCAAAGAGGATATTTATGATGGCGACTATGTGGGGAAGTAACATAGTACTAACTATGATAACAGATGTACAATATTTTATTTGTATGGTTATAAACATTTTTGATTAGTAAATGTTTGTATCTTACTTCGTCTTTCGATATGCAAAGTATATTAAGCGATATTTATGTAAAGGTTTTTAAGAAGTGACAACAAACGCAATTATGAATCAGCCCAATTATTTTTTATCTACTTCTTTGCAATGAGATTATTTTTCGCTCGTTCAACAAAAATGATAAAGTCTGTATCAGGGAGACGTATTTATCAAAGGCTAAATCTGAACGTCGCTTCCTTTGACGAAAATGTTATATTTATCAGCTGTTATTAACATTTTATTTTTTTCCCCATTTTTATTGTAACAGATCCGCATTCTCGCACGTTGAATGTTTAGAACAGTGTTGTATTAAAAATCTTTTAAAGAATATTTAGATTATAATTAAGATAATTTGATAAGATATGAAGTCCTGAGGCGATATGCACTTCTGTGCCTGTATTTTGACGACTGTGTCTGCAGATATGTCTTCTTAACGTAATGGGTGAAGGAAAATCAGTAATGAGAGAGTAATAATTTCATGTGAAAAAGAAAAACGTTTTATTTTGTAAATTAACTCTAATGTGACAGATAACAACAATAATAATAATAATAATGATAATTTTTGTACATTTTTTTATTTGACAGATAATAATAATAATAATAATAATAATAATAATTAATATTATTATTATTATTATTTTCTTTTGTACTGTTTTCATTTTCTAAGGGTATCTTGAATTATGTTCGCTCTGCACCAATCGTGCGACATCAGACAGGGCCTATTTTCAATGTCAAGTGACGGGATACTGGGTTTTATTCTGATTTTCTCAATGTAGGACTTCAAACCACAATAACTTGGGCAATATTGGTCTGAACGTTTCGCATTCTGGCAACTTCTATCTGAAGGTCCAGTGTATATCTTCAACCTGTCAATTTCTGTGACCATGATATTATGGTAACTAGGAATAGCCAAGACAATCATCATCTGCTAAATAATAATAATAATAATAATAATAATAATTATTATTATTATTATTTTATTTCCTTTGATTTCTGCTGTGTACACTTTTCTTTCCGTGTCCCGCCCAAAGACCTAAAGTCCAAAATGGCATCATGGCATTTTACACTGACCAATTAAAAAAAAAAAAAAAACAAACAGCACTTAATGTTTGCATTATCTGATGCAAAAAACATCTATTGAAGTATCTCCGTATTAAACATAGCAAAGGCAAATAATAATATCTTTACTGTATATTTGCTTGAGACTTAAGTGTAATAAACAATTATATCATCAGAGGAACCGATTTAACAAACTAACTCGACCTAGAAAAAATGCTTTTTATTATTTTTGACGTGAAACATTTTAAAAACAGTAAACGTTTGCCTCATTCTTAATTTCAAGTTTTCGATACTCATCAGGTGCCCCACACTTCTGATCTTCTGCTTAATTAAGATAAGCTTTGTAACTATCAATAGACGATTATTCCGAAATGCAAATTGGTGCAGTTTCAAGCTAACATTCTGATTTCAATAGTGGATGTCATATATTTTTTCAGTCAAATACAGAAAGTTTCTTTCTCAGGTTTAATCCCCAGCCATTTTTGTTGTGTTCTTTTTCCAGCTCGCTATGATAAAACAAAGTATCGAAGGAAAGCGGATAGACAATTCATTCTTTTTTATTACCAAATCAACAGCTAAATCTGCTGTTATAACTATTGTCAGTTGACTGAATGCCAGTAATGAAACAAAAAAAAATCAATTTAGCTATAATTAACAGCTACATCAAACTTAGGTTCTCTGTTCGATTATTTACTTAGACAATTAGATTTTAGACTTACTGTTTAACCCACAACATATCTTATTTCAACTATGAAAAAAAAACTCTACGCAGTGATGGCTGAATTACTTGATTACAGATTATTAAATCTAACTTTTCGCGTCCATTATTATCTAAATTATAATTTGAATAATCATAACTGCCTATTAAAGCTTCGTTTATACTGCGTTTTCACTATTATTATTGCAATCCAAGCACTTTACTTATACATTCGATGATAAATCAACAAAAGAAAAATCATGTTCCCGATATGAAGCAGTGTGAAGCACCTGCAAGCAAATCTGAATGGTATTTCTGCTTCCTGCTTCCTGATTAGTATTAAGCAGACATTCAAGTGGTCTGTAGTGATCGTTGATTTCATGCATGGATCTTAATTTGCGGGTGTCTGGATTCATTGACTTTGATGTGGAAACTTGGAGTAATATCGTCCTAAGGGCTCGGAGCAAAAGGCGAGTACATTTGTTTGTGGTTTCAGGTGAATATCAGATACACATGTTAAGGTATTTATATGTGTCTCTTCCTTTTTGCTTGACGTGGAATCTACCATGCAAAAATAACGTATTTAATTGTACACACTCACCGAAACGACCTTAATCTTTTAATTATTTTCTTCTGTCTTTTAAATACAAGACAAGAAGATAATTAAATGGTTAAGCTTATTTCGGTTACTGGGTACAATTAAATTCGGCATTTTGAAAATAATTGTCTATCGTGTACAAACATAACCGGCACCAAAAACATTTTGGACCACCGATTTTAGTTCAACACGATATCTTATTAATTAAAATTAGTCATTAAAAATTCACGAATATATTTGAATTTCTCTGAAACAGAAAAAACAGATAGCAGATCTTGTTTCCGAAGAATACGAAAAAATAAAATTATTTTCTAAATTTTCATTGCTTCTATCTATCTATCTATCTATCTATCTATCTATCTACACACACACACACACACGCACACACACACACACACACACACACACACATATATATATATATATATATATATATATATATATATATATATATATATATATATATAAGTATATACGGAATAAATTTCAATAACCAACAATTACTATTCTTAAAAGAGTGCTCAATACAGAGTAGAGCAAATATAATTTTTTAATCGAAAATTATAACAGAAATATGTTATAAAATCACCACAAAAATAGCCATTTTATTCAACACCTCTGGTGTCTTATCAAGTGATGATGTTGAATGCAGAATAAAGGGTTTTAAAAGGTTCAAATCAATCAAACACCCCTCGCTAGGGGAAACTGCTTGTTAGTAGCAGCGAACTACATGAATTAATGACTTTCTGAAGAAATTAACTTTATCTGTAGTTTTCATTTGTTTTTTTAGTCGTTAATTTTGGTCAGTCCTTGTGTTGGTCAAAGGGCCTTTTTTAAGATAGAGGCTGGATAGATTCATTCTGAATTCCCTTGGTAATTTTGACAGTTTTATTGGTTTCTGGGAAGTGGATGTGTCTGTTTTAAGGGCATGCTCTCATATATATATATATATATATATATATATATATATATATATTAATAAAGACCAAAGGAAAACTTATCTTAGCTGACGCATTCCATCTTCTCAGGAAGATTATCAAGACAAAGACAAATATAAGAATTTTTATTTTGTGACAAGTATTTATATACAAAAGCAAAAATGCTCATGTCCATGAACTTGTCTGACTTTTCAGATAATCTGCTGAATATTCATGGACACCCCTATACCAAAAATTTTGAAAAACCGATAAAATTTTAGCGCTTGTATATAAATTCTTAACACAAAATAAATATTTTCTTTTGTCTTTACTCAAATTTTCCGTTTAGAAATATACTCTATCTGAAAATTTATATATATATATATATATATATATATATATATATATATATAGAGAGAGAGAGAGAGAGAGAGAGAGAATATAAGTTGGTCAATAAAACAAAGTCATACGAAAGGGTACCGACGTAATCCGTACGAAAAACATTTATTAATATTAACCAGGTGACAAAAATGAAGCACAAAGATTGAGGTTCCATGTTCGGAATTTTCGAACACGCCTGTGTTCTTCATCAGAGGATGCGATAAATAAACAGAGGGGCGTCCCTCTATTTATTTCTTTTTCTTAGTTTGTCAACCTTAATTTTAGTAGAGTTTCTTACTACCATAAGACCAACATCTCTGTATAACACTATATTATCCACATTAACATCATCATAAGCTCTAAGGTTATATAGGGTAAATAAACCCACCAAATTAGAAGACTCTCTCTCTATATATATATGTAATAAATTTGGGTATGTAATCCAGACAGAGTTATAAGTTATTGACATTTGGAAAAACGTTCATGAATGTATGTTTCTAAAATATTTTCGAAACATTCTTTCATGAACGTCTCTCCAAATGGCAACAACTAATAACTCTATCAGGATTACATACCCACATTTATTACATGCTGTCGATGTGGAGAATGCATGGATAAAAATAATTCTTTCATCTATTTTCTACGCATTCTGAATATTTCCAACTCAAATCTCGGATACTTAAGGCGGATAATATAAAATATTAAATGATTTTTTAAAAAGTCATTCATTTTCTTTCTCTTTTTTTAGTCTCGAGCAACGTCAACTTGGGAAAAATATAATATTTAATTATTTTAAATACACA